CATGTGCATCTTTGATGTGATTGCCATGGGTGACTTGGAGGTTGCCAATGTCCATGGAGCTTTTTAAAAGACTTGGTCGATATAGCTGGACCTTTAGAGAACTGGTGAGGAAAGATAGGTGTGTAGAAGCTGCTGCTGTTGCTGTTGCTGTTGGCTTTGTCAATGGCTGGTCCACAGTGGCTGGCTCCACCTTTCCTTTCCAACAGCGAGTGGAAGCATGGTTACAATTGGAACCTTGTTTGTTGTCTGCTTGTGAAACTAACAATTATAAGAACTAAAGTTGATGCATTTTTAAGAAGACCCCCTTCGAGCTATGTATATTAGTTGCGTAAAACAATGGTGTCTCGTCCAAAATTTTCCACATGCAGTAGGTAGCCTGAGTACCAATGTGGCACAACGGGGCTCTGGTACTGACTGGTTTGCCATGCACGCCTTAGCTAGCTCGGCCGTCTGGCCGCGCTTGGGGACGACGGATTGGCGCCTGTTTGTTGTTGAATGGTGAGCGACGATCAAGGCATGCAGAGAATACTGTGTCCGAGCTAGCTATTGGTAAGGTATGAGCGAACAAGATGGTGGAACAACTATCGGCGTGGCTGCCCGCGATCACTTTCCCAGGGTTACTCGGCATTTTGTCTATTTAAGGCTATTGTATCTGATTACAGAGTTTCCTAAATGTTCTATGCTCCTTTGTAAAAGTGGCTTATGTCTCACAATGTCTCACAATGTCTCACAATGTCTACTAATGTCTCACAATGTCTTACAATGTCTACTAATGTCTACCAATGTCTCACTTTGTCTACACAGTACAGTAAAACAGTACAAAAATGTCTCACTTTGTCTACCAATGTCTCACAATGTCTCACTTTGTCTACCAATGTCTACCAATGTATCACTTTGTCTACTAATGTCTCCTAATGTGGCACAATGTCTACTTTGTCTACTTATGTCTACTAACTGTGTGTAGACATTTACACTTAATCGCCAAAACACTTTCCCAAACAGACAAAATGCCGAGTAACCCAGGGCAGGAGGTGGTGCTCTTTCTTAAAGGATTCAGCCGTGCTTGCACGAAATAAGATTCAGGCTGCGAAGGCATGAGCCCTCAACGAGTTTGACTTTGATTGGCAGTGGCAAGCTGGCTGCAGCTGTAGACCTAGCTCTAGCCAGCCATCTGTTTCTCTTTTGGTAGTCTACCTCTATTAGGGTTAGGGGTAAAAACTGTGACACACAGAGGGACAAACACACCAACACACAAACATACAAATAAAATTCACAAGGGCCCTAACCAAGTTGAGGGCTATTTATGCATCACTTGCACTTGAGATTTCACTAATAGCTATCATAGATCATACGGTAGTACTCCGTACATTTTTAATGGTACTCTAGAGTACATGTACCGCTACCGAACGATGTATGTAGTCTACCTTGCAGTACAGTACCGGTTCCGCGACAGCATGTGAGGAGCAGATCATACCGGTACCAGTACCTCTTCGACGACTCCACCCTATCACCTATTATGGTGCTTGCTCTAGCTATCATCGTGGTCAATGTATACTATGCATGTTGCGTGGTTGTTCTAAGCTTCGATGAGCGTGGATAATAAGATATGGTAATGAGAATGGGAGTGGTACCGGTACCGGTACCGGTACCACCATTATGTATAGCGATTCGATTCTGTGTACTGAACGATATGTTGGACGAAGCCTTGGATTATTCTTCGGCTGAAGCCTCTTCATCCAAGCTATCCAAGCCGATCGATCCTTACGAGAATCCTCGCACATCTACTATCAAGCCTGATCCATTCGGGGGCCCGCGGGGGGTCTCCATGGATGTCTCCTGTGCAGAACTGAAAGCCATCCTCGTTGAAACCATACCAACTCGGCAAGGTTTCTTTCTCCGGCCAGGTTGGAGAACTTTAGAGAGCAAGGGCCAGTCTCCCATTTTCTGCAGTATCAGATTACTTTCTATTCTCTTACTGATGATTACCTAGTAGGAAACACCATTGTCGAGTCCTTTTCACATGGTCGACCGCCACGGGATAACAACAACAGGAGGAAGGGGCTTCCATCCCTATTGAGGAAATGTAAAGAACGATGAACCGACAGTTAATCATCTAGCCAGCTAGATAGTACCCACAACGAGTAACTAGATACCATTGTCTTGTCGATCGATACGTAATTAGGAGACGGATAACTCCACAACCAATCTGCAGTCCGAGCAAAGGAGATCGTCGTCGAGTCGAGTCGAGTCAAAACGAGTCGAGTCGGGTCGAGTCGGGTCGAGTCGAGTCATTGAACGAAAGGCAACATAACAGTCGTCGTCAACCAGAGGGGGGTGCAATAAGTCTCTCCGAACCACCGAGGGTGACGGGTTTCCTCAAGGACGAAGGTATGGCTCCTGCGATGAGATCAAAACTGCCGTAGGGTTAACAGGAATCAGTACCAGCATTGCCGGCTCGCATGCTGACGCAGGAAGAACAATGGTTTATTTAACGACACCACTCAAATTCATTTAAAGGACACCTATATTATTATTATTATTATTATTCTTTCTTCTTTTTCGTGCCTCCGTAACAGCACATCATCTGCTATCGAAGAGCACAACACCATGACATCCTCCTCTTTCCTCTTCCTTTCGCTCATGTAACGACGCGAACACTCCGTGGCTAAGACTTACTCTTCAGTGGCTGGCTGCTATTGGATCGCTCTAATCGTCAAGGTCGAGGTCGTCGAGGTCTTCCGCAATCGCATCCGCAATCGCATCCGCAATCGCATCCGCCAGCATCTTCTTCTTGCCGGCATCTTTAGCCGTCGAACTCTTCTTCTTGGCATCTGCAGGAGCGAACGCACCAACCACTTGTGTCAATCCTTGACCAGTGACATCCTCAAAGGCTCCTTCAAAAGTGGAGTCAGTCGATTCAATAGACTCTCGAGGAGCTCGCTGCTTCTTCTTGGCTTCCATGATCTTGCGGTTGAAACAGATGCCACCAAAGAAGAGAGTGATGTTGACCTTGCCATCATCCTCAGTGGTGGCCTCAATGGCGTCCATGGTGTGCTTGACAGAGGTGACAATTGCATGGCTGCAGATATAGGTCATGACCTCATCCAACTCCTTGTCAGAAAGAGGATTGCGATCAAAGACAATGACATTGGTGTTTCATTCCTTGTCATTAAAAAGAGCTTCATTGATGCGCCTCTTGAGCCTGTTGAGCTCATCTTCGCCAAGCTTGTCTTCGAATGGAACAGGATAGGACTTGGTGCTGACCATGATTGCTGTTTGCTCAGTTGGATGAGGAGATTTGTGAGGTCTGCCGCCTGTTGCAGAGCTCTGATCAATCCACGTCGTCGTTTTGAATTTGAATTTTACCGCCGCTTTGAGGTGAAGGACTCGACGCACTCGACAAACAATCCACCGACAGCCACTTGACAGCCCACAATTCCACCGACACCGACACCGACACGCGACGGCAATTCCACTGACGGCAGCAACAACAAGCCATCAACTCCGGCACCAACAGCCACCAACAGCCAAAAGCCACCGCGCCGACAGCAGCTAACAGCCACCGCGCCGACGACAGCTAACACCCACCAACAGCAACAGTCTCACCAATAGCAACAGCCAACAAGCTACCTACGCGCGAAGAAGCAGCAGTGAATCAGCTTTGGGATCCTGTCATGGCTGATGCTGGGGATGGACATGGTGTTGCCATGGTCTTCCAGTGCAATGTAGCATATTGGATGGCTGATGGCTCCTACAAGGTTGTAGCTGGCCAAGGCACCCTTCAGAAGTTGCGGGGCTCATTTTGTCAGTTTCGGCTTCAAGTGGATGGAGGTTGTGACTCCACCGTCTCTCACTTGTATTTGCCGCCTCTAGCCGACTGGAGTATTGACAATACAAGAGCCGTTCAGACGATGAATGGTGCTCATGGACCGCAGAGAGCCTTGGTTGACATTGTGACGTTTGTGGGAAGCTTTACCATTACGAAACTACAAGTTACAATGCCGTTCCACCGTGAGAATAGGCGCGTTGCAAAGCTTTTCCGTCCTGCTCTTATCCATGCCGACCAATCGAAGCGTGAAGAAGCGATGGCCTAGTCGAAAAGCAAGCTGACAACTCATTGCTACGACTAATACAGAATGACGTTGGTACAAATTCTTACTCGTTTGTGCATTTGCTATCCTATAAACTGACAGCAGCAACTCAACCGAAAACAAGACTAGCGGTATCCATAGCTAGACAATAACCTCATACTTAATTAAGCACTCTTCCTTTGTTCCTTTCTCATCCAGTCTTCGATACTCTCGCTGCTAGTGAATGATATCTTCTCCTCTTCATGATCAAACATGGCGATACCTCGGTGCCGCTTATACATTTTCTGAGCTGCTCGTATCGTCGCAAACTTCAGCTCGGATTGCTTTTTTCGCATCGTCTCAAGCGACACCTCTCCAGTGAGCGGCTTTGTGCCGCTGGTTCCTTCGTCTCTGGCTGCTTCGACTGCATGTAAAAGCAAATAGGCAATTACAAACTGTCGCGCCTTCTGTGCACAGCCTCGCACCGTTTGTTTTGTCAGCGTCTTCTCACTGTTGAAGCACACATCCAAGACTTGCTTCGTGAAGCGATCCTTTCCTTTCCGTTGTGGCAATGGGATCCGAACAAGGCAGTTCTTTGACACTGACCACACGTATTCAATGCCAACACCGGCGATTTCTGGATGGCACTTTGGAGAGAAGATAACTCGCCATCCATACTGCTTGGCTACCCACTCTAGCATAGAGATTTCCTTCTTGAAATCATCGCATCCTTGGAGCAGCATGCGGAGGCTTGTTCCCTCGATCAACTTGCCTTCGGCATCTTTCCTCCCAGGCATCATGTAGTGCCCTTTTCGTCTCTTCACAAGCTCCAAGTCAACCAAGCCTCTCTCAATGCACATTTGCAAAGCTCCTTTTGGAGTGTTGACCCATCCTTTTTGCTTCTTGACTTCCTCAACAGATAGATCTATGCCGTGTTGATTGGCAACGTCTCGGAGGAACGCTAGGGAAGTGCGTGCGGGATCAGACGGAAGCCCGGCAGTGTTGGTTCCAAGCTTGTGGATCAGGTGAGCGTGGATTTCTTTTTTAGACCGTAGAGCTCTCATCACAGTTTCACCCTCGAACTCTTGGTCATATTTGGTTGTAGATTGCTGTTCGGAGGACATCCAACTTGGGCCTTGATCGTCCTCTGAAAATACACATCGCTGGACCGCACCAACAGCAAG